CCCTTCTCCGAGATAACGTAGTTGCGAGAGATAATAATAAACATTGCAAAAATCATAAATGGTGCACCATTGTACCTATTTTTAATTTTAAATTTAAAAACATATATAACATTGTCATATCAAATACTGACTTCCGATTCGCAACCGGTTCCTCGTGGTCACGAACATTCTAACACCAAACGTCCGGCTGGGTAATCCCCGTGACATCAACTTGCACATTAAACCCAGATAACTTTGTAATGACACAGGGCACTTCATCCATCAATTTATCATCATTTACATCTGCAGGTGTTTTGGCAAACAGCATATCCAACGGCTGTACATTTAACTTCAAATAAGCTCTGTGCCTAATGCCGACGGGTTACCTGGAAAGTTATTATGGTGAGCGATGATTTGAAATAGTGCGGTCATAAACTGTTTTTAAATATATAATACGCGGTGTTTAATGCAAAACAAAATCAAATAAGACCAACTTTCACAATGAAAGGAATAATATGAAAAGGCAAAGCCTTAAAAGAGCGTAACTTTTGTTGATCTCTGATATTTACTGATTCAGAATACTGCTTTCAGAATAAGATTAATAGAATCTGTCATCCCCTTGGGACGGATTCTATTGCTTGATTATTACCTAAAACCCGTAAAAACTTCTGCTTTTATAGTAATGTTGTAAACTGTCCGCACATTTCACATTTGCATATGGAGCCCAGATGGCAATTGCTTGTTACGTCAATGACCCTGACTGACCCAAAACGTCATAAAATGACGTCACGAACAATAGCGTGACCCCGAAAGGTCACTATAATTCCCCCGCCGGTCTGCGTGTGTAAGCGATCTAGACCGGTGGGTCGGATAGAATCTTCCAGCACCGCCGGAAATGCGGATATCTCGGTCTAGTATACAAGAAATGAAATCTCACACCGGTAAAAGTGCGGATACACCTGTCCAGGGTAATAGAAAAGATAATCTTTATTTAAAGTTGACTAGTCGAGGAATAAGAATGAAACAAAAGCTGTAATGAGAGTAAGACCGACATGATAATAGGAGAACATTTTTGAACATTATTTAATTTTCCCTGTCAGAAGATCGGATGGCCGAACGAGCCCCGCCATGGAATAAGTTCGGACAGGCATTCGGGTAAGTCCGGCCCACGTCGGATCAGCTTAATTATGACGTCATAAAGTAGGCTACGTCCGATTTTACCGCCAATTTTACGACTTTTATGTGATACATTGGCCGAACTTGCCACAGTATTATTAGTCGAACCTGTTCGGGCCCAAATTGATACAGCAATATGGTAGTGTGTGCTTGGCTTTTATGTATATCATTTGAAGCTGTCAGTGTGTTGCACGTTTGACCGTAAAAAGGAGCAATTCCGTTTACAGAAAGTTCGCATAAGTAGAAGCGAGTTCATGATTGCCAATTTTACGACTTTTATGTGATACATGGGCCGAACTTGCCACAGTATTATTAGTCGAACCTGTCCGGGCCCAAATTGATACAGCAATATGGTAGTGAGTGCTTGGCTTTTATGTATATCATTTGAAGCTGTCAGTGTGTTGCACGTTTGACCGTAAAAAGGAGCAATTCCGTTTACAGAAAGTTCGCATAAGTAGAAGCGAGATCATGTTTTCTTTCTATCCTCTCAAGAGTAAATTTCTCCTGTTTAATGATTTTACATTAGAGTTTTCCTCGTCATTTTTTTGTGTGAATGCCCAGCCAACTTAACTGCTAAAATCCTTAAAGTTGTAAATATTAGCTCAAAACAAAAATATCAGGGGTGGCCGAACTTGCCCTGGTTTGCAGATTTTTTTTGTAATGTATTCACAATATAAATTTGTTGCATCAATGATGCCATTTTCTTCCAGTCAAAGCTTAAGTAGATACTTGGTCGGGTGGCGCAGTGGATAGCGCGCCCGTCTTCACCAAGATGGCGGGATTCAATACCGGTTATCTGCCCGACCATGCAGGTTTTCTCAGGATACTCTATCATCCTCCCACATAAAGAATTAAATCCTCTGCGTGCTTCCGTCAGGTCACAAAAAAAATGATTGAGATAAGTTGGGAAAAAAACCTGTTTGGTAATTGCTATAGAAAAAAGTGCATATCACATATTTGACGATAAGTCTAAGTAAACACTGTGGTCAAACGGCACTGTATAGGTTCCGGAAATAGCCATCGCTTAAGCGAGGCAGATTATTGAAGATCACAGCATGCTTGTGATCATAGACATGTTTTCGGTATACTATCATCATTACGAAGGTGGGTACAAATCAATTAGTGTATTATAGATCAACCTTTGTTATAAACTTGAAATATTCCAGAAATGAAACTTAAAGGCACATTAAAATATAACGAATCAGTGAGTTTATCACGGCCCGAAGTCGACAATCTCACAGATTATGTCAATAATTAACTCACAGATCTCCTTTGACACATGGTTCATGTATTTTTTCATAATTCAAAGATTTATAAATTCAAAACACACATTAACGAAAACAGTTGTGTTTTTAAACATAATATAAACAATGATTGTAAATAACACCTATGGACATGCTACTGTATGGATAAAAACGACCAGACTAGGTTAATAGCGATTGCGGCTTTATATTACTGTATGGTTTATTGGATTATTACATTTTGTCTGTTGGTGGGGAAAAAAACTTTCTCTCACACAGATGGATAATTTCGAGTTCAGTTACTGCCAAAAGAGCTTTATAGAGTTTAGTGAAATAATTGAACATTGTAATGCAAGACCAAGGAACTTGCTGATTGTATGATGATGAGGATAATTATATGTTGATGATGATACATATGAAATGATGATTGAAGATCATGGATGATGATGATGATGATGATGATGATGATGATGATGACACTGATTATGATGATAATGATGATGATGATGATTGTATGATGATGATGATGATGATGAAGATGATGATGATATGTTGATGAAGATACATATGGAATGATGATTGTATGATGATGATGGCAATGATGATGATTGAATAATTATATATGAAAGAGGATGATGACGATGGTAAAGATGAATGATGAATGATGCTGATGATTCTGATGTTGATGATGATATTATGATGGTCGGGTGGTCGGGTGGTGCAGTGGATATCGCACTTGCCTTTCACCAAAGCGGCCGGGGTTCGATTCCACGATCGGACGTGAAAAGGTATGGGGTCACCTGCCCCACCACGTGGGTTTTCTCCGGGTACTCCGGTTTCCTCCCACAACAAGACCCCCCGCGCGCTAACATCCGGACAACAAGAGTGATTAATATAAGTTGAAATGACTTGTTTCATAATTGTTGTAAAATAAATAAAGTTTATATTATATATGATATTATGATGACAATGATAATGATTGTGATAATGCTAAACCCATGTCCGTGTGTGTATGTGTGAGGATGCGTGAATGTCTTGTTTATGTATATGTATATGTACTGAAAAATCATTACAAACAAAAATATCAAAATAATAAATTTACAAAAAGTGTCTTCATTGTAGTTCACCGTAACGTAAATATATGAATTGAATGGATTTTTATTCATGTACATTGCGGCAATGAACAGCAGTAGCTGATCTACATATCTTCTGAGGAGCGCTAACGCGCGGATATGTAGACCAGCTCAATGTACAAGAAAAAAATCCATTCAATCCCTATATTACCCAACAACACATATTTACTGAAAAATCAATGCAATACTAGTAGCTACTGGTGTATCACAAGGCTCCGATTTTAGTCTGCTTCTTTTTTAATTTTGTTGAATTTGACAAGATGCATGGCATGTGTCAGAACCCCTGTGCCATTGCTCTTTGGTTTTTCTGATTCACAGTTATCCCCCTTTAACTTCCGCTTCGATATAACTATATCACCGTTTTGACAAGGTAATTCCGTTGACCAGGTAGCTCAATCGCCTATAGTGATAGTATACCAATATGAAATGACACAGTGTTAGAAACCCGATCTCGCCCCGCCGAATTGTTTCTACTCAGAACCCTTTGTCGATTACATTCTATTTAGTTCATCTTTATTAGTTCTCATAAAACTCCTGCGTGGTTTCCTTTTTAGAAATGTTTGATCAAAAGTATAGTAATGCCGGCAAAACAGCTTCCAATACCTAGGTAGCAGATCTAGAGTCTCAGATAAACCTGAAAAGTGGATTCATCCTGCACAGCACATTTCCATATATATATATATATTTATAAACTACATTTTAAATACATTGTTTTTAGAAGCAATGATTTTTGAGTGTTTTCCGTAGATTTGGTACTTGTTAAAATCATGGTTAACACAAAAAAAATGCATTATTTTTCACCCGAAATTTGATCCCCGCAAGTAGTATTTATTCTTAAACCCTGTCTTAAATTAAAAATCACCTACTCGGTATCAGAAACACTCACGTTTTAGCATATGTCATTCTGGTGGATTTTTCCCAATATGTATACATGTGCTGAGTACAAAAAAAAACTGCATGAAAAGCTACACACAGATTTGTAAATAGCAAAAACTGTAGTCTCAAACCAAATTCATTTTTTTCTTTTTTTCTTTAAAAATCATGAAACCCACATAGTCCACTACATCATGTTTATGCCAATTTTAGTGCTGATCTTTTTATTTTTATTTTGAGTTTCGTGGTTTAAGATTGAAATTCTTCCAATAATGCAGTATTTCAACAGGCTGCAGTATAATATATGAGTTTTAACAAATAGTTGTTTGTTTCGACAATAAAATATGTTTAAATCAACAAATAGTTGCTGTACTAAAATTCACAGTTTATCTATTGCTGTGACAATAGGGAAGGTTTGTGTCACGACATAGAATGTGAATTGTCTAAAGTGTTGGTCAAACGGTTACGTCACACGGTCCGAAATCGTGCACTGTGTCAGCTGGGACCCTTAAAGCGGTCGCAAAGATCGTGTTATTTGGATCATACCTGAAACTGACCACACTATATAAATGCCCAGGTTATTCTGACCATCACCAGAGTTTAATCCGCTGTTGACCAACACTTTTAACCACAACATTCATCATGAGGACTTTCGTTGCTCTCGCCATTCTGGCCATTGTCGCTGGTAAGTTTTTATCTATATATTTTTTCTTTCAAAATTAAAGTTTCATTTATTTTTCAAAGTTAAATTTTCAAAACATTGTTTTATTAATATTAACTTTTATTTGAGAAAAGTTTGCATTATATTTTTTTTTTGTCCAAGAAAATGAAATAAGTTTGATATCAAAATTACAACAGTTGATAGTTTTATTTGTCACCTTGCATATTGATTTATAATTTCTTTAGAACGGAGGTTTATATGTTCATGTTTTATGTAAATGAGTATTAAGAAAATGTAGTTAAGTCTAAAAGACTTCATTTTATAATTGTATCATAGAATACAATTAATGGACATAAATTCTCAAATTTCACATTTTATGAAATTTATTCAATGAAAATTTCCAAATTACAGCATTTGAGATGTTTCTGTATTTGCCATAAACAGTTGTCTTGATATAAAACTGTTTCACATATATAATACATCGCACGATCAAACACTTGCAGAGTGACAAATCGTTTATATTTAGGCCGATATCACCTGTCTGAAAGTTATATTTCCTTCTGTAGTCGTGATATGGAAACCAGACAAGTTATATCAATCCCCATACTAGGCCTTAACTATGAATATCTAATTACATAAATGACCGTGAAATGAAGAATGTTGACCTATCAAGACTTATTTTCAAGAACGTTTTTTCATTAATTGATTCGGTAAATTGATAATAAATAACCATCATGGGTAATATCAATTATATAACAATGAATAACTTTTGAGTGCATAACGCGATTAAGAATGAAAATTATAGTGTTATATAATTCATATTTAACAGTGAGAAGATCAATAACGATGTAGTATACAATAGCGAAAATTATTAGATTATTTTTGTAGATACTAGTGGAATCGTCTATCTTCCGTTACAGTCTGTGTACACTCAGAGGAGTGCCGTAGTAATGCCGACTGTCAAAATGGTCTAACCACTTGTTCAGCTGGCCATTCCCTCACCTGCCATAACCGTGCATGTTATTGCGAGTCCCAGACCTCTAGCACAGGAAGTGGTAAGAACTACAAATAAGTAAATCAAACTGCTAACAAAATCACCAACAAGGCAAATGTAGTTGATCATCTCATATATTGTCAACCCTTGCTGTCATCTTTACGCGATTACTTTTATAATTTGTCTGACAGCAATATGACGTCGTGTCAGTAATAATATAAGAAGAGGTAATGATGTTATTAAAGTTCCAGGTGTAACGACACTGAAATCTTTCCCGTATAGTTCCTGATTGAATAGTTTCATAAACATGCCTTCTTTACAAACAATATGGCGTTATACAATCAATAATATAAGGGGAGATAATGACGTTATCAACATTTTAGGTGTAGCGACACTAAATTATTTCCCGTATACTTCCTGTTTCAAAAGTGTAGTTGGCCTAGACTACATTTAATGCTTCCGGTGAGTGGTACACAAATGAAGTGCATTTCTCAACTTTAGGCTCTTTTTTTAAATAAGTTTTTTTTATTTATTTCATGTAAAGGAGATGAAACTACGTGTCAAACCAAAATGAAGCGTGATCCTCTCCTCTTTAATTAATGTGGTTGGTTAATATGTGTGAAATTTATTTTGGCAGAAAAAAAGGTATATTGTTGTGTCCCTAAGCATGAATTTCAGGGTCATATCATAGTAGACCGGTGTTATGCTGATATAATCAAAATCATCTTTAAAAAGTACCGGTCGTGAATAGTCTTGGATAGATAAAGAAACCTTATAGCGGTCAGGTTTCGAGCAAATTTATATAACACGTTTTGAAGGGTTTCTCTTTGGTAAGAACATATAGGGGAATTAATTGTTGTCTGAGGCCAATTTCACATACGCCATCTTATTGGGTTATTTTCGTCATTTAGGTTGTTCGACCAAGGATGACTGCATGAATTCCGGAGACTGTCACGGCAGAGGACAATTCCACTGTGTTGATAGCAAGTGCAGGTGTTTCCACCACTAGAATCTAATTATGTAAGTATTTTCATATTTTAAATATATCATATTTTGCATATTATTAAATGTAGAATTTTATAATTATATAATTCAAAGGTTTTTCGATCTGAAAATACATCATTCAATTGTATATCATTTTCAGTATATTTCGATTTTTTGCTGACACCTGATGCAATTTTTGGCGTGACACGAAATGCAGTAAAAAGTAATATCGATTTAATGTTGCTAAATATAGCTGATCGAACCAATAACTANCATATTTTACATATTATTAAATGTAGAATTTTATAATTATATAATTCAAAGGTTTTTCGACCTGAAAATACATCATTCAATTGTATATCATTTTCAGTATATTTCGATTTTTTGCTGACACCTGATGGAATTTTTGGCGTGACACGAAATGCAGTAAAAAGTAATATCGATTTAATGTTGCTAAATATAGCTGATCGAACCAATAACTAAATAACACTTTTCCCCCATTTGATTGTTACGTCTTAATACACTGTCAATGATATACTTATTATTCCCTTTTTTTCAGTGTGTTTCCAAGTGAATGGAATTACAGATGTGACAACCTGCTAGTAGAAATGATATGTATTCGTCAATCAAAATTTTTATGTTTTATGCAATAAAAAAGGTTAAACTGTAGAAATATTTTTCTTTTCTTTTCTTCTTTAATTACACTATATCATGCAGCTATTTCGTTCTTCTCAGACTCATAGTTGATGCTGTTGGAAACCAAAAAGGTATTAAGTATTAGATTTTAAAGAATCCCTGTCATATTTCTGTCTGCAATTAATCGGTGACCAATCAGAGTTTTCACCTACTAGAATTCCGGAAAGATCGTAAATAAGACAGTTGCATCAGAAAGGAAAATGTGTTTTCAATTGGATATCTGCACATAAACGGTAAAACCTCGAAAAACTACTGCGGTTGGATGGAACAATTTGAATAGAAATAGTATTCACCTCTAAAACCTTATCCTGCCTAATAAACATATGTTTAACGGCTGTAAACCATCTGAGAATCAATTTGGTTGCTCCGTCATAAAACCTCTGAAAATGCTCAAGCCCGGTTTCCTATTACGGTAATAATTTCTAATAAATTAAATTTCGTCTATGATTCAGAGGCTTGTTTCAGAACCCCTGTCCCATTGCTCTTTGTTTTTTCTGATCCACAGTTATCCCCCTTTAACTTCCGATTGGATATAACTATATCACCGTTTTGCCAAGGTAATTCCGTTGACCAGGTACCTCAATCGTCTATAGTGATAGTATACCAATATGAAGTGACACATTGTTAGCACCACTGAAATGTTTCTACGCAGAACCCTGTTGTCAATTACATTCTATTTTGTCCATCTTTATTAGTTCTCATAAAAGTGCCACGAGGTTTCCTTTTTAGAAATGTTTGATCAAAAGTATAGTAATTCCAGAAAAACAGCTTCCAATACCTAGGATACTCGGTATCAGAAACACTCACGTTTTAGTATCTGTCATTCTGGTGGATTTTTCCCCAATATGAATACATGTGCTGAGTACAAAAATAGACTGCATGAAAAGCTAGACACAGATTTGTAAATAGCAAAAACTGTCGTCTCAAACCAAATTCATTTTTTTCTTTTTTTCTTTAAAAACAAATTAAACCTACATAGTCCACTAAATTATGTCAATTTTAGCGCAGATCTATTTATTTTTATTTCCATATATATATATAAAGCAAAAACACGAAGACTAGTATAATCGGCTAGCACTTTCGCCCATCTTGGGGCTCTTCAGATGAATATATTTATAAACTTTATTTTAAATACATTGTTTTTAGAAGAAAATAATGTTTTTGAGTGTTTTCCGAAGATTTGGTACTTGTAAAAAACATAGTTACCACATAAAAAACCCACAAAAAATGCAACCAACACCCATGATTTTTCACCCAAAATTTGACGCCCGCATTTTTTTTTTTTTTTAAAACCTGTCCTAAAGTAAATATCACCTACTCGGTAGCAGTAATACTCACGTTTTAGCAAAGGTCATTCATTCCGGTGAATTTTTCACAATATTTATACATGTGCTGAGTGCAAAAATAGACTACATGAAAAGCTAGTTTTTGTTGTGTAGACACAGATTTGTAAATAGCCAAAACTGTAGTCTCAAACCAAATTCATTTCTTTTTTAAATCATGAAGCTCACATAGTCCACTTCATCATGTATATGCCAATTTTAATGCTGATTTTTTTTAAATATTTATGATACCTGTTACATAACAGTTGTTTATTCATTGTACACAAATATCAACCATGGCCACCGTACGCTGCTATGCACTGCTACCCTAATTACATTTGTTGGCTGTATTTTGAGCATCCACGGCGATGGCATCTGTCTCGTGGGATCTAACGTCTTACCTTACGAAGATTATTTTATACAGTATTGAACAAATGGCCAACATGCTGGATAATATTTTTGATAAATTGAATACGTAATTTTCGTTTTATACTGGGTGGAAGTAATGTTTCATTTGGAGGAGAGTTGTCAAGGTTTAGAATTAACATGTACAATGACAAAAGACACATGATCGTGATGACTTGGAAACAACTACTGACATACTTACCTTTACAGTGATAGTCTGAATGAAAGACAGAACATGATATTAGGGGGGGGGGGGGATATAAAGTAACTGGTGGAGTTTCGTGGTTTAAGATTTGAACTCCTTTCAATAATGCAGTATTTCAACAGGCTGCAGTATAATATATGAGTTTTAACAAATAGTTGTTTGTTTCGACAATAACATATGTTTAAATCAACAAATAGTTGCTGTACTGAAGTTCACAGTTTGTCTATTCCTATGACAATAGGGAATGTTTGTGTCACGACATAGAATGTGAATTGTCCAAAGTGTTGGTCAAACGGTTACGTCACACGTTCCGAAATCGTGGATTGTGTCAGCTGGGACCCTCAAATCGGTCGCAAAGATCGTGCTTAGTATTCAGGTATTTCGCTAACGAGATTGACATGTTATAAGTCCAGTGAGCTATTGTTTTGACGACATCAGCCTTAATGCCTTATTTTCGACTTCGTTAACCCGGCTATGTATTTTTTGTTTAGCCAATGTACAGGTTCAATATATACAAATTACATATATAAGTTCCGATTATTAATTTGGTCTTTGAATATGACTTTGAGGTTGACATTTTAGGTGACTATAGCATCTTTTAAGGGGCTCGTTGAACCTTAACACATCAATGCTCTAATCTTTTAAAATTTGATAATGCTTTAAAACTTGTGTGCGTTTAAATAAATATATTAACAGTAGTTGGCTTCGAATGAAAACATGATTTTTTTATCATCATTCATCATGAAAAAGTAATATGAAAAGGCACTGCCTATAAGCGAGCGCACATAGTTCAGTAAACTTTGTGATGATAGTGTAGGTCTCAGGGGGCCTGCAGCGCCCCAGCTGAGAACTTTAGGATAACAAAACAAACCCTATCAGATATTCCATGTAGGCCTTTTTGTTGTTTTATTACTTATTGACTATTATTTTAACACCCTTGTCAATATATTGCCAGGTCCCTTTAGGGCAAAATTTTCTCAAGATAAAATTAAAGAAACATGATCTACTGTGCATAGAAAATATTTATTAACAAGGCAAAGTATTGCAAGGCATTCCATATCGACCCATGGCCACCGGTAAGAATTTCTATACACAAACAGTACACTGATGTCGGGAAACATATAGATTACAGTGAGGTCATAGTGACCTACACTTCACTCCGCCATCCCAAGATTTCCTTGTTCATCAAATCTGGTTACTCAAGCTGAAATAGCATATGCCCCGTACAAATATTTTCAAACGTAAATGTCAAAGGTCAAGTCATACATCACAGTGACCTAAATCTTGCACTCTTCACTCTGCCATCCAAAGATGTCCTTGTACACTAAATCTGGTTACTCCAGATGAAATAGTAAAGAAGATATGCCCAAGTCCAATCTTTTACTAAAGTTGAGGTCAAATGTCAAATCATAAAGGACATAGTGAGGTCAGTGAGGTCAGTTCATGAAAATCTACATGTTTGCCTTAATTGCCAGGCCCCATGCCCCAGGCTAGTAAAAAATGTCAATGTTTACTTTGAAACATAAGTTGGGCTTGTGTTTGTTTTTTTCGAAACAACCTTCAAACTATAGTTCACTCATTATTACGTTGTATATCTCAGCGATGTATGACCCCTTGAAGGGGCTAGCATGAGTGTATTCCTGGGTGGAAACAGACCTGCGGAAAACTTTGGTAGTTGTCTATGGATTGCCATTAGGTGTTTTTCATTATAGGACACTGATTTGAACCATTTCAATGTTATAATGTCACCATGCTGGAGTGACAGGATCCTAGGAGCAATCACACTTAGCGCGAGTCCATAATCTTTTCATAACCTGAAAAGAGCATGGTTATTTCTAAGTACACACAGACAAACAATAAAGAACTGATGATGTTACAACATCTCTCATTTACAAGCTTTACCTGGTCTGTAGGTGACATGCAAAGGCAATAAAATTAGCTCAAAGATGATTCTAAATCAGTAGTAAGTAGGTATAAAAGTTGATTCTAAATCAATGTTAAGTAATTATATATAATTATGGCTCCCATTTTGTAACTCTAAACCAGCATTCAATTTCTCAATATTCCAATATTGGAGAAGCAATGGCTGCAATGTCCATTCCTTTTGAATAACCAAATGATAAATTAATTTAATCATTTACATTATAATGTAAGAAAGCATTATATCATGAACATATTTTGAACCTAAAGTATGATACCACTGTACCAGTATCGTAAGAAGCCAGATGCTGCAATAGATATAAAAAGGACCATTGCAATTACAACTCAGAAATGATAAATATACAACGGTGATCTCACCAAGTTATAAATGCAATTATGATATGTGTTGTAGTGATGTAAAAATCAATCAAAAACAGAACAAAAGTTCATTTCATCCAAAAAAGGCTCTTTGAATTCCTTGAGAGAAATTTATGTTAGGAGTGACCGGCATATATTATTGATATATTATACGGTATATATTGCTAACAATTTTCAGAAAAAAATGGTTTAGTGGAGAAATGAACGACACGGGGGAAATGAAATAGCAATTTCAGATAAAGCGACTAAGGACCTTTCCATCCATGAAGAGTGCTTGATTCTAGCATATCTGGATCTGAAGAAGAAGATTGTTGAAATTTCAGCCAATTTGCTCTCTTTGGCCCCTCCCTACAGGCCCTAGGGAAGGGCCAGGTTCTTAATTTTCATAGCATCAAAATTCAGTCACATGATAGTCATTCCAACCAAATTTGATTTTGTACCCAAAAGTGTTATTTCCCCATATAAACTACAGTAAGGCCAAAAACAAGATTTACATATGTTTCGGATAACCTGATCATGACCTACCTTAAACTGTTCCCGTGGACCTTAGGGAACATTTTATCACCTACTTTGTATCCATGAAGATCATTTTAATAGTCCGGCAAGGATCACATGCACTGTTATGGTCATGGGATCCTGACCACATTCTTGACAGAATAATGACTATTACAAGAGGCCCAAGGGCCTTAGCGGTGACCTGAGTTATAGCATAGGTACTGGTAGTTTCATTTTATTGTT